TGATCATCAGTGGTCATTTACAACAAGCATTAAAGCATTAAACATTATAAAAATCTTCATAATGATATCAGTGACCATGACACTATACAGACTCAGAACCCTTTGATACAAATACGAATAATAATTATTACCATGACACAATAAGTTTGGGTCAAAGAAGGAAAATCAAACCAACCAAAAAAAAAAGGTTTTCTTATTTGCTTATTAATAATATCAGCCAAACTAATACTAATGGTCATTTAAAGAACAAATCATACTACTTTAGACTACTTTAAAAGGTTTGTTAATGCTTTCTGTATGATTTATTTTGAAATGCTGATATATTTTGACTAAAATACCAGAATGTTCATATAACTTTTATACTTTTGGCTCTCTGAGGAAACATTTTGAATATTAAATCAGGTGTTATGATCAGTTACTCAGTACTTGAGTAGTTTACCAAATACTTTTTACACTTGCTTAATTAAATGTGTTTAAGGTATGCTACTCTGACTGGAGTACAATTTTGGGGTACTCTAACTGACCTCTATGCATGAACGATTGCTCTATGGATCACTTTTTAAAAACAACAAAAGAACGCCATAAAATAACGTCTATCACTGCAGCAGACGTCCCACCCCATGAGAGTAGGGCGCCGTGGGGAGCGTCCCTTATTTTTATTTCTGAAAGGTGGCAACCCTAGTCCTAGTGACACATGATTAGTTGTGTTAAAAAAAAAAACTGAAACAAAGGACATAGTTTCACCTTGAACTGTGGTGAGGTTTAGATCTGATTAAACTATAAAAGACAAAAAAGTTTCAGCCTTATTTATTTAGCCCAAATGGCAGGTTTTATGTTGTTTGGACAGATTTAAGCAAATGTTTGGTCTAATTTGTGCCCGAATTTTATTGCCTTAAAGAAGATACAAGACATAGAATCATCATTCTATATAAGCTGCCATTTTGGATGCAAAATATGATATTTAAACATGTTAATAAACACACAAAGGACTGCTTAACATTAGTTCCCAGCTCTTTTGTTTGTTGTTCATCAGAGACTATTAGAGATACAGTTCATATTTTATAATTAGTATTCTGTGAGACACTATGAGTAGATTAGTCTTTGGAGTTCTTCCTTTTTAAATTAATTAATTTTCTTTGTTAAGTGAGTTATCTGCTGCAGGCAAGATACTGAAAGCAAGTGAAAACTTAAGTAAGTAAAACTTTATTTATGTAGCACCTTTCCAGATGAAAATCACAGAACGTCTTCAACAAACAGAATTTAAAAAAAAATACACGACAAAATTAAACTAAAGCAGATTAACAAAACCACACTTCAAAAAAATTGGAACTATTTCTTTAACTGATAGAAAGTGACCCAATTTCTCTTTTTAAAAAAAAATAACACCAGTATCACAGTTTTTCATTTCCAAGTTTAAAAGTGATTTCAAACTTTCAGTAACACTTCTCTAAGAAGAAAAGACAGACCTTCTGCTGGAACCGCAAAACTGTATTTTTATCAACTCAAAGATATGCTAACATTAGCTATTTATTAAAAAAGGAAAAATAAAACGCACTAAATCTAAGTTGTGACGCTTCATATATTGCTTTCTAAAAGTAGTTCTACTGCCCTCTAGTGGTTAAATAAAGCAAACACTTCGTTTATCATCAAAATGGAGAATGAGAGAAAACTGTTCCGACTTGCTATCATTACAGGTTTGAATCTTTAATATTGATAAAAGATAATGATAGAAAAAATGGATGTCGTATCTAATGGATGTCACAACTGGACAGAAAATCACTGCAAAATAATTTTTTATAAACAGATTATTTTTTTCTTGTACCTAAAAGGGGAGAAATTAAATCCCAATCTACTGTTTATATATAAACTAACAATAACACTATGTAATATTTGTTGAGCAACAAAAAATGCTATTTGTATTACATCTAGTCATTTTAAATCAAACACATGCAGACATTTATTTTTATGTTTGTTTGTTTTTTTTTTTCCTTTTACTACACAATAGATCCACACAGTATATCGGTACAGCATGTAAAGTCCTGCTAAAATACCAGAATTTAGTGATGCAAAACAATGAGGCGGTGATGAATCATTTCAAAAGTATCTTACGTGTGACGTGACATTTATCCACAATCCAACTGAAAACACATCTGTACATGAATAACCTGGTGTTGGGTTCTGCGGGGGAGTGTTTTCTCTACATTTTCAGGGTGGCAGGCTGACGGGATCCAGCTGGTGCTCGTCATCTCCAATCAACAATGGCCTTAAATAGGAGAGGCTTCCCAGAAGAAGATGCCAGATGGTTCCGCTTCTACAGTGGTACACTCTAGCTCTCAGTGCTGTCTCAAGTATCTAACTTGTTCCTGACGCCTCTTCCATCTTTCTTCCTCCTAGAACCAGCCCTGACCTCTCTCTGAGAATCAGATCACCTGGACTACTTGGCCCTCGCTGTTCGGCTTGGCCGAGCCCCTGGATTCCTCCACCACCACCACCCTGCTGCTGCCTGTCCACCCTCAGTTACCTGCTGGAACTCCCCCACCTGGAGACCCCTCGCTGCCCCAACTGCTGTACCCTCCTCTGCTCACCTGAACCCCCAATCCGTAAGCCCTCATCAGGTTACATCATCATTCCTGTCATTATTCCTCTGTCTAACTGCTCACCCATTTCTCAGTTCCTCCTCTGGCCCGGTTCCTCCCTGCTGCCGCTGATCTTCACCTCTCCATTGTTTTCCCCATTACACCTTCCTGTTCAATAAATCTGTAAACGGAGTTTGGGTATCCGTAGTTGTTGCTTGCCTTCGAGTCCTGGTACCTCTCATTATGACACCTGGTTCCATAAATATGCATATCTTTAATATCTTGTTAAAGTACTTCTGATTAAATTTCAGTATTTTTGGTGTCCCACACATAGTTTACAATATTTGCCAAACTCCGTTTTGTAAAGGTTCTCCAAATCAGTCAGGTGACGGGATCAGGTCTTGTCATAAGATCTCTGTTTCTAAATTTCTTTTCTCTAGCCCATTGATAATTCTGCAAAGTAACTTAACTTTGGTCATTTGTCGCCTCTCTGTGATGTACGACTGTAGCCAATGGAAGCAAATGTCAGGAAAATCCTTCTGGGACAGTGAAATATTATTTCACGTTCATCAAATTCACTATAGATGATGGTATTTGTGGACACCAGGAAGCTGAAAGCTGATTTTGAATCAGCAGGTGTTTAAAACTGAGTAGGTGTGGATATTTGCTGCTTTTGTTTTCCCACTGAATTTGAGTGAATGCCACATTAAAACGTTTTAAAATTACTGATCAGCCTCCTATTTCACGTCGCAAAATCCTGACATTCGAACAGAGACTTATACATATTTAAGAGCGACTGTGATTCCACCAGATGATTATTCTCTCAAAGAGTCGGTTCATTTTACTGGCACGTGTGCGCTTGTGATCGTGGATGTGCAAAGACGACATGAGTCACACACACAATTTAGTCTGAAAATATTTCTTTTGCATAAATGCCGATTCAAAACATGGATCATTTCTTTACAAGACAATGATCATTTCAGTACATGTAAACACATTTTGTGACAGAAAAGCCTCAACAGTTTTGATAAATCCAATCACACATCAGACACACTGCACTTTACCCAGCTGCTTTTTCTCTACAGTTTTTTTTGTTTTGTTTGTTTCTATTTCACATCTAGAATCGCTGATTAAAATGAACCGAGAGGTGACAAAAAGAAGCCTGAAATATTTTACTTATAGTTGCAAGTTGGTAAAATGTCCTGTAAATCCTAGTCTACAGATTAAAACGGCTAGGAAAAAGTACTTCATGCTCATTTTCACTATACAAAATATTTGAATATTTAGAGGCAGCAGCACTTGAAAACATTTAGCAACAAGCTGTTTTAGAAACCTTGTCAAGATACAATAATATATACAGACACACAAACACAATGTTGTCACTTTTCTTTTTTTTTTTCTTTCTTTTTTTTATGCAAAATCTTTAAGACAGCTAAGGTTTTCATTCTGAACCAGCCAAATGTTTCTAAAACATCTCAATATTATTGTCCAGAGAGATTTGGACATGACATACAAGAATGACAGTGTTGGTTGGACAGAAACCAAAGTGCAATATTGCCCTTTACACAAACATTAACACACTTTTATTTTATGTTTTTTTTTTTCATTTTTAAAAAGAAATGGATTGAGTTATGAAGTAAGAAAAAACATTTTCAGAGCTAAGGCAAAAAAATAATAACAATAATTCATATCGCTAGAAAAATAAATTAAAGAAATTTGTGATGATTCCAAAGTTTCCCACACGGACGAAGAAGAAGCCAAATACAAAGGCAGGGGTGATGTCCTTTTGTTTCGGGTTCTGTCGTCACTGTAAGCCTTCGAACGCATTGTGCCATTTTAACAGAGGACACGGGTTCAGTTTAACTCTTTAAATGTATTTAAAGCTCCAGAGTGTAAACAATAATTTAGGTTTGGAGGAGATGGGGCTGCAAGCTACTCTATCTGACACAAAGTTGGAACTAAATTGTGTTTTTACCAATTAACCTAACGTGCACATCTTTGGACTATGGGAATAAACTGATGAAAAGAAATAAAGGTCTCATATAAAGGCTTTGGGCGTCCTGCAGGATCAACCTTCCTGCTGTTTCTGCTGTGCGAGATCTAAGTGCTAAACCACTGCATCACTAATCACATAACACACAGGTGCATCTCAAAAACCTATGACATCATCCAAAAGTTTATTTACTTCAGTAATTTCACTAGAGAATTGAAATTATATATTGTCTAGAATCAGAGCACAGAGTGGTGTATTTAAAGCCCTTATTTCTGTTAACTGAGACTTAAAGCAGATCAAAACTTAATAAGAAACTTAGAATATTACATAAAGCGAGTACAAAGATCATTTTTAATGGAGAAATGTTATGTTGTGGCCTAAATACTGATGAAACAACTGTGAACTCCATCAGATAATAATCGACGCCCTTCAGTAGGACGGTTTGTCAGAAAATCGCAGCTAAAGAAGCTGGCTGCTCACAGACTGCTGTATCCAAGCACATTAAAAGAAAGTGGAGCTGAAGGAAAAACTGCAACAGCCAAAAGGCGCACAAGGAAAACCCAGACAAGGATGTTCATGAAGTGGCTAGAGTCAAAGCCTTAAAAGCCACCGCACACAGAAGGCATCCAGCAAATGGAGCTGTAACTGCTGCATTCATTCTGAAACACAGATGCCAGAAGTATTTTTTTTGGGGTAATGAAAAAAAAAAAAAAAAAAAAAAAGACTAGCTCGTCATCAGTGGTGCAAAGTCATATATTTAAATAAAAGTAAATTTAGCATGTCATTTGGATATCAACGTCCCAGAGTCTGGATGAAGAGCAGAGAGGCACAGAATCCAAGTCGCTTAAGGTCCTGAGTGAAGAGGATTTGGGAGTCATGTCTTCTGCTGGTGTTTGTTTGGTCCACTGTTTTTTTTTTTGTTTGTTTGTTTTTTTTCTCAAGTCCAAAGTCAAAGAACTTCATGTTTATTTCTACTGAAAAGCTTTATGGAGACACTGATGTCATTCTTTTCAGCCGAACTCGGCACCTGTGCACCATGCCAAACGATCGACACTTATTTGACCGTGGCATTGCTGTGCTTGATTAGGCTGGACAGAAAACATGGAGTTATGTCAAGAAGAAGATGAGACACACCTAACAACGCATGAGCCGATCCTCTTCAGTACCTCAGAGCCACAGGCTGATCACCTCAGTACCATGATGGCTTCAGGCAAAAAGAGCTGACTAGGAACTGTAAAGTACATACACATACCTTTTTGGACTTTAAGTTACATTTCACCGTACAAAAAGAGGTCTGAATAAAAATTTGATTGATTGATTGATTGATAGACCCATATTTCGGTATGGAAAATATTTTTCCATTGATCTAATACTATCCTAATATTCTGATCTTTAAATCCAGTAACTAACACTTTAAATACACCACTCTGTGTTATGAGTCTCTTTGACTTTCCATTTCTGAACTAAATCACTGAAATAAACTTTAAAATGATGCTAAAGTTTTGGAGAATACACCTGTATTTTGTATTTTTCATCAGACTAACAGTTTTTCAGCTGCAAGTGGCTTAAAATGTAATAATTGCCTTTCATTAAACCTCACACAGATGTTTGTCGTCATTTAGTTGAACTTATCACAGTACCAGACTTGGCTTTTCTTTAATACTGTCTGATTTGTGAAGCATATAAAATTAAAAAAATAAAAAGATATTATCATGGATATATAAATTTTAGTGCATTATCATTGTCAAAACAAGTTTAGGAAAACAAAGTGCTCAATTTTCACTCCTTTTCAGCTGTTGACACATTTTTAAAAAAATATCTACAGACAAATGTCAATCAGGAATTGCCACGTCTTAAAAATACAGATCTTTGTTTTAGGACCATTTTGGCATCTGTTTGTGCTTTTTTTTTAATTATTAGTATTTTGATCTGTAATTTATAAAATCTTTATTGTCTAAAAATGAGCTGTCCCTATGACTTGTCCATGTTTAACCCAAGCTTAAGCTAGGTCGTTGGGTGAAACATAATTTATCGTGTTTTTTTTTTTTTTTAAACACTACTGAGATAAAAGGTTCTGCCTTTTTTTCATCCAAAGTTCATATTGCACATTTTTAAAATTTTGCAACGTTTCAAGTCTGAATCCCAAACATGATACACGCATGCAGCTGCCCTAAAAAAGGTCTAATACCAAGTCAGAAGCCTGAAAACCAGCAAGACTGGTCTTGGGAACAAACTATGGAGGCACATGTCAGCACAGTGGCCAAATGACTCTTAAAAAAGGGGTGGATTCATTTGGGTTTTTTTTTTTTTGAAGAAGAAGAAGAACTGAAAGTACTTTTTTCTAATAACAGACTGGACAAAAAAGAAGTGTTCATATCAATATTCACTCTGTGATTTTTTTTTTTTTTTTTTTTTTTGTTCTGTCCCCCCTGGGGGAGGAACGTTCAGGCTGCCCAACAGTACGCGTGACAAATAAATGCTGTTCAGCTCACTCTCTGCTTTATATGCAGGAATGGTCCCGCTGGATTTTGGGTTGAAGAGGTGCGGATTAGAGGCTTTTATTCAGCTTTTTCGCCGCCTCTGCTCCCTGGAGATAGGAGGCTGTCTCCTCTCCCTTTTTCAAAATGTTCCTGCTATGATGGGCAGTCCTGACTTCGTCGCCTTCGTTTAATGCCCACTTCGCCGTTCATGCCGCCCCGCGTGCTCTCGTCCTTTCTCCTCTTCATTCTCCCAGTCTGTTTGGAGGAAATGGGATTTAACATGAGCGCGAAGAAGAAACCACTGCCAGAGATACTTGAAACACTGATTCCACATAAAAATGACAACGTAACAAAAAAACTGTACATAGCACTTTAAAGTTTCCGGTGTTTATCGAACGTTTTTCGAACATTTTGTGCCATTTATTCGTGTCTTTTTCTACAAAGCCATGAGTTGCCATGAGATGTTTCACCACTAGAGGTCAGTATAACACTGAAGAAGTACAGGCAGGATGCATCAGAACAATATGATTTATTCCTTGAAGGAACTAAACAGATAAACATTTCAGGTTGAAACAGATGTTTAGGATTGATCTCAGGATAGAAAATGGAGAATCTCTTACACTTTAAAATTTAACACATTTCTATTTTCCTGTTTAACAAATTTCACGCTAAAGAATATGGAAAATAAGGTAGGGTTATTTATGTCATTTTTGAGAAAATACACGCATTGTGTTGTGGTCACTATGTTAAAAAACTAGCACATATCAGAACATATGTGTATTGATGCAGTTAACTCTCATTTTAGAAACAGTTAAATAAGAATTATAATTTAAAAGTCTTACAAACATCAAAAAGTAAGTTCTTTTCTCAGTACATTAGTTTATGAAAGTATTTTAAAGTTACATTATGGCACCACTTAACTACAAGAACTTATTGATTTTCAGTTTCTTTTCAGAAGGGGAAATAAAAGGGAAAAAATGTGTTTTAGCACGATTCCTAAACTACATTTAGCCAAGAATGGACAGTGTACAGACCTTGGAGTCCCTCTCCGCAAATTTCTGGAACATGTTGGCGTAGATCTTCTTTTCCTGCTCTTGATGTTCCTTCATCTTTCTTTGGCAGCTGGAAAGCTGAGCGCGAGCAGCGCGATTCGATGGGTTGACTTCCAGGACCTTCTGAAAGTCCACTATGGCCAGGTTGTACTCGTTGCGGCGAAGCCGCGCTTCCCCTCGGCGATACAGAGCCTTCTCGTTGCTCTCATCGTGCTCAATTACCTTGAACAAACAAACACAGGCACATGGAGAGAAATTAGCATGCAACAGCGGACAAACATAGCCGGAGGGGTGCAGACGTGCGCTTCCCATCAGGGCAACACAGCTCACCTTATTACAGTTGTCCACTGCTTGAGAGAACTCTTTTAGCCGAAGGAAGCATAGCGCTAAATTGAGGTGAGCTGTTGAAACGTAGTCTTGTATCTTCTTATGCTGCTCCATCCCGGTACCACACTCCAACTCCAGCCAGGAAATGATTCGCTGGTACTGGATGACTGCCTGGTGGTGCCGTCCCGCCTAACGGTGAAAAATGCGGATCGGTTCTGAGCAGATGCGTAACCACAGCACTTCAATGGGAAACAACCAGCATTGAAAACTATACCTTGAAATACTGATTCCCTTTAGTTTTCACTCCAGAGACGAGATCCAGCTTTTCATTCAAGTCCATTTCCCAGGATTCTTTAGCCTGGTGAGATAAATTATTATTATTATTATTATTATTGGGATAAGATATGTTTTTCTAATCTGATCGTCTGTAAAGCAAAATTTCTGTATTCTATTCATAAAATTACCAAAAAGCAAAAACTGTCACTCACCCTTTTAAAGTTTTTTAGAGTAACTTCATACACAATTTCTTTATCTGGTCCAACTTTGTACTCTGGTTTGCCTTCACTACCAAACCCATACCTGTAAATTAATCAAAGCCACACAAATTTAATAATTACACAGAACAATAATTATTAATGGCCCTATTAATGGTAATTGTGATGAATGAGTGATACTCCTTGACTTCTTCCACATTTTGCCATATTAAACCTCAACTACTCAATTTCTAAAGATATTTAATGTTTTCAAACTACCTAACGGTGAGTTCACACTGCAGCCTGAAGTGACCCAATTCCGATTTTTTGGCAATTCCGATTTTTTTTGCCGGGCCGTTCACACTGCCAGTCAGTGTCGCAACTACATATTATTCAGGTGGATGCGAAAACATAAATCGGCGTCCCTCCTTCCCCCGAGACGAAGACACGTGAAAGGTAAAACTCGCTACATTTACCCCGTTATATGCACGAGGTGAAGGAGCGTAAGGGTTCGCTGAAGTGTATGCGAAGACATCATCGGCGCGCTGCCCCCTCCAGACGGGGTTTTGACGCCCCCTCTGGTGCAGCGCCCTTATGCATTGCATGCGCTGCATACCCACTTTTTGCGCCACTGCTGCCAGTAAATGCGACCTGTATGCGTTCTGCAGTGTGAATGGGCAAACGACCTGAAAGTGTCCCGCATGAGCACTAGAGGGCGCAATAGCGTCAGCGTTCTAAGTGTTCTGCCAACCCCCATAAAAAGAAGAAGAAGTGCTCAGTGTTTGCGGAAGTAAACATGGAGGCTAAAGGTGGAGCTTAGTTGTTGTCCGGCTGGAGCAGCATATTAACAACTTAATCCTCATATAATCCGTCATGGTTGTTGTTTTTCTTCTCGCTTGCGCGTATCAGGACGCATAATAGTGAGATTTGTTGAGAATCAGTGACGTTCAGTTCGGATGAATGCGACCTGGACGTTAGGTCGCATTTGAATCGCATACTATCGGATATGGGTCACATTCGAAAAAGAATCCGACCTGTGCTGTTCACACTGCCATGAAAAGATCGGATACAGGTCGCATTACGTCAAAAAAATCGGAATTGAGTCACTTCAGGCTGCAGTGTGAACGCACCCTAAGTAGATTTAATTCCTTATCAGCTCTTGATTTTATTTAGGTGCATTGGAGTAAAGGAGTGTGAATTGTGTGCATAAAAGTAGAAAAAAATCCCAATAAAAGACATTTATGGCTGTAACGTTGCAACATGTCAAGGTCAGAAAATTAAGTGTTTTCTTGCAAAAGCCACATATCAAACCAACCTTTTATTAAATTTGATAGTAAACCTGCATGACCAAATATCATGTTTAGGAACTAACCACAGAAGGTTAATAATGATGGCACACAGCCTAACAAGACTTTGTGAAAGAAAAGTTAACATCGTTGCATTTTGAGGCAACCAAAGGATTTCAATACGAAGCACATTCCAGATCCTCTGTTTCATTTGTTGCAAACCACATGACTAAGCTTAACTTCAAAAGGTTTCTATGCAACTTAAAGGGTGGAAAAATGCATGCATATATAAGTCTAATGAGGAACAGACTGCTGCAAATCAACACAATAAATTTGCAGATTTAGATGGAGCCTCTGAAGAAGGACAAGAGCCAGAAAGAACAGCTCTGATTCATGCATGAACAATACTTTCCAGTCTTTAATGATCTGAGCCTGAGAAGCACTTGTTGCTCTTGAAACTATCGCGCTGCCTTGACTCTCAAGGTTATCTACTGTGTGAGTGCAAAACAGTTTTGCTACATATTTCTAATACCTCCTTTCTCATGCTTTAGCAGAAAGTACGACAAATGGCCACTGTGAGTAAATGGATTTTTTTTTTAAAGTTTGTTTTCATTTTCTCTGAAAGAGTTTTACATTTGCGTCAATGATCGCTAATGTGACGTGACATTAGCCATTGTCTGTTTCGTAGAAAGAGCAGTAATGTACTCTTTATTCATGTTTTCTTAGAGAAAAAATATGAATTACGCACAATTTGGAAAAATTCAATTTTTGACTTATGAAGTTTACTGTTTAAGCAATTTCGCTAACAAATCTAGCGCTCCTTAAAGAGTTGCATAGCACATTTTCCTACACAGTTGATATCCTGCTATTGGAATATTTAATGCCTATCATCTCTGCTTTGTGACAAAAAAAAAATCCATAATCTCTGTCAACATTCTCAGAGCAACTTATAAAGAATTTTAAAAAAAAACTGTTGAAGAAGGTTAGAAATGTTACATGCACACTATAAATATACGATATGTCAGTTTCTCAATATAATACCTTACAAAAGTTTTCATACCAATTGCAATTTCCATCAAGGCAAAGCAGGGCATAATAGTGAGAGGAACAAAATTTGTACATTGTTTAAATATTTTATATATATAAAATAAAAAGGTATGAAAATCAGATGTATCCCCATTAAATCAAAATAAAATGTTCTTTTAGAGGACTTCAGACAGCTTCTTGGCCTACAAGCAGAACTCTTTGTGTTGCAGAAAAGTAACACTCAAACACACCGTCCCTATAGTGAAATACGGCAGTGGCAGCTCATGCTGTGTCTGTGTTTTGCTTCCAGAGGGGTCAAGATGGAAGAAAGTTTTGTGACTCCACAAAATTTTGACCCAAATACAGGTGTGCTCCAAGAAAAGATTCCTTTTATTTCACGACATTGAAGTCTTTGTTTGTAACCTATTAAAAAGTGAAAATATTCAAGGAGTATGAATAATTTAACAAGCCACTATGTTTTGATTCAATAATTATTTTTTTTAACTTAGACACATGCTACTTTACACATTTCTGTTTAATTTTGGTCAACTTTGAAGTTAGTTATTGTAAACTTACAGTCAGGAGAATAAAAAAAAAAATCAAGAATCATTCTTGTTTGAAAATCACAGAGGAAGCAGGAGCACATTTTGCAGGCTTTAAAGATCTGTGAGAAACTTACTTTGGTTTAAGGTAAAGTAAGCAGCATTCTCCTCTCTGCATCTTGTCCATCGCTCGGTCCACCCCCAGAGGAATGCCTTTGTCTTCACCTTGACCAACAATGAAGCTAACGTCCCTGCAGTCGAACAGCCGGTCCCCACAGCGTCCCTCCAGGTGCACTGCGCGAAACATCACACACTCAACCTCCGACAATATAATTTAACCACAATGCCATTGACCTGTAAAACAAATGTTTGAGGTTACCATCGACGGTCGCCCCGTCGTTAGGATTGCTGTAACCTTCCCCTTTGACCTTTATTCTCCTCATAATGCCGCCATCAGCTGTAAGTATCTCTCCTTCAAAGTTAAGCAGCTCCATCTGTTGTCAAAAAAAAAAAAGAAATTCTTCTCACCATTTCTCACAAGTCTTTTTTTGCAATGCTATCTTATTTTTAATACTTTGAACAAGTACTGAAGTTATCAAGCTTTGTGAAAGTAAACAGGTGGCGCCTGTGTGATTTGTAAATGGCTGGTTACTGAAGATAACAGTAACCAGTGACTGTGAACTTGATGATTGGTTTTTAGTCCATAAGTTACCATAATTTAAAAAAAAAATTGACACTTCATTGGGTTTATGCATTAATTTGGTAAATCTGGTCTTAAGTGTTGTTTAAAGTTCTCTGTGGCTTATTAAACCACCAGATACTTTTTGATTTTGAATTTTTTGCATATTCATTCCAGTAATATTCATTCTTTTTTAGCATCGAGACTATCAAAATACACTGTTCAGCAGTATACACCTCACTGAGTCAAGTTTGCTCAGTTAGGATGTAGGTTAATGCGACACAAATCTTTTGACTGTTTCAGTGCATATGCATAAACATCTTTTCACACATTGCATAAAAAGATGCAATATAATGCTAATTATTTTACGTTAGGATAATTTCAATTTCCTAAATACCACAACAATAAGAGAATGTCTTTTTAGCTGCTGAAAAATCAAAAGTTTACATATATTTTCCAAGCTTTTAGTGTAACTGCCTTTTAAACTGTATTATTTATGTTAAATGTTTTAAGTTTCCTGCCATAAATGTCTCACATTAATTTGATGGGATTTTGTCATTTTCTTCTAGACAGAACCGCTCGAATTTAGAAAGTTTTGTAGGCAACCTTGCTCAAAAACACACACACGGGTTATCAGGACACTTACATCATGACTTTGTGATTAGCACTCCAAACTAAATTTATTTCGTTATCTCCAAGACACTAGAGTCATTGTCCGTCTTTCAATATTTCCATACAGTGTTCTATCCTCATGATGCCATCCATCCTGCTGCAAAACTCCTACATAACGTGACGCTGCCGCCCCCACATAGTTAACAGTCGAGGCGATGTTCTTCCCCTATTTTCCTCTAAATGTAACATAACGTGCGTTATTGAGAAGAATAGTACAAAAAATAAGAAGTTTGGAAATATTAATCAAAATTACATTCCTCTTGAAATCTTCAATGCCTTTGGTTAATTAAAACATCAGTGTGTGTCTTTAAAGAATATGTGAAGCTTAGATGAGGCAGCTGTTTGGTCAATGAGGCATTCAAATAAAAATAAAAACTTGTGAATTTCATAATTAGCAACTCAGGCTTTGGACACAAAAGACGTGCTTCTACATTAGAAGAGTTCCTCAGACTGATTTATAATTAATCTAAGGCTGCAGCAACAAGGCGCACGGACCTCAAACACTACTGAAGAGTTGGGAGGAATTTTGTCTGGATTCCCAGTCGGTCCGTAGGCATAATCTGGTTTACAGAGCAGGGTGCACACCTCTCCTCTCTGCATGGACAGCACACCAATGTCCCATGCTTTCAGGACTTGTCCTGTGAGAGGATAAAGATTCAGAAAAGTCATTAAAATTTTTTACAAAGGAATTAAAAATGTGCTTCACTGTGAATGTATTTGCTGTAAAACATGACGCTACTTCCAGAGAGTACTGGATTATATTTGCATAAAAGCTAGACTGGAAACAAGGAAATGCTTCTCTGGTATTTGTTTAAGTAATAAATTACATATTCCCATCAGCTATTAAAAAATTAGGTCTGTGAACTAAGTACTTTTGCATTTCTGCTAATTACTATTTAAAGTAAAATATGGCACAAAGGACTCAGGAAGTTTCACAGTAATGACCGATGGCAGCTACCTTTTCCTACATTAAAGCAAAAAGGCTCCTTCCGTTCCCAACTGCAATCAAATTTCTTCCCAGTAAGCAGTTTTCCAGTGTAGTGTACGGTCACTTTGTCCCCGATCATTGGCCGGTCCCCATCGAGTCCCTGACGCCTCACAACCTGGAAAAAAAAATAAAAAATAGACGGAAAAAGAATTTTCCATAAAACAACATCCAAAGGAGCAGCAGCTGTAAAAGTCAAAGGAAATTGAAAACAATGTACAGAAAATGTAAGTAGAGATAATGCACACCTTGAAAACTCCCTGATCTTTCCGTGGTGTTACGTCAACACCGTTCGCAGCAAAGACAGCTGTTGCTGACTTATCGTCCATGGGCAAAAACTGATCTGTGGTCATTGCTGCTTTAAGGGCATCACACAATAACACTGCAAAAGACGCAAAGAAACACACAAGCCAACAAGTTAGCAGTCTGATCTCTGCTGATTCTTTTTGTGTTTTTTAGCTTTGTTTATGGAAAATCAAACATTATGTAAATTTTTTTTTTTTTTTTTTTTTGCAGCAGTGAACCATGAATAAAACCAAGAATAAAATGCTAAACATAATCAAGCCTGAATGAACAACTTTCATCTTCACATTATATAACCTGAACCTTTTAAGGACATGTGTTCTGAAGCTATGCATTGAGATGGACTCGTATTAATAGCTTTGCTGGAAAATGCCTCATTAGCAGCTGTATGAGGAGCACCACTGTAATACACCTTGTCTGATCCCCACACAGATTAGGTCATTACATAACCATAACTCGGTGCATGTCGCTTTCTTCACCCAGCCGTGTTCCCTCACAAATTACGTTATTTGGCATTGTGCTCTTTGACTCTCTCTCCCTAAATAATGTCAGGGTATTGCAAAAGCACCAAAACTACGCTTGCAACACAGCGGAGTGGCATTCAGACGTTTGCACAGCGTATTTTTCCTAAAAACCTCTTCATTATTAGTGACGTCTTCTCTCCGAGAGCCTTAAACACGCAGGGAAAGCGTGGGCTTAGCCACACGCTCACACTGTGTGCTCATAAAGCTGTGCCGTCTCAAAAAGAAAAACAAAGCTCAGATATCCCTGAGACGGATCAATACGCTCATAATATGCCTCTTCAGAATTTGAGGTTTTGATTTTCTCAATTAAATGCCGTGCTGTAGTTCAAATGCCATCTTTTCGGTTACCTTCCTGACTGTTTTTGCCAATGTGAACACACATTTGGTGAGTTAACGCAACAGAGCTATTCACAAGATAGCAAGCTCTACAGTTACACAGATTTACAGTACTTCAGCTAAATTCAACATTCAATGCTAATGTTGTTCTATTAGCATTGAACAACATTAGCACGGGGGAAAAAGAGGCCTCCAGGACTTCACTGCATTCACACTCTTTGCACATGGAGATGCTAAACAAAAAACCAACAAAGAGTAGGACAATATTTTATATGCATTTTGAATAGATTGAAGTGAATCTGTTTCAACTTAAAGGAACATTTGACTGATTTGCCAAAAATAAAATGGAGGGGAAAAAAAAAAAAAAAACGATTGGCAAAGAAAGTCTGTATGGGCATGTGCGAAGGGAGCGCCATGCTTATGGAGACCCACTAACACACTTGCCTTATTGTGGTTAAAGAGCATAGCTTCTTTACCCAGTGCTTTACACAAGCAGAACCAAACAATGCTATATTTGCAAAGAAAAACACAGTTAGTTCTAGCAATGGCATTGAAAAGAACAGCAACAAAAACAAGCGAGATTAAACCAAAGCTGCCTTTGTCACTGTTTCTGTGCAAGAGGGTGACCATATTTTGATTTTACAAAAAAGAGGACACTTGTCCGAGTCCTGAAACACTTCAATGACACAATCCACATTGGTATTTTTATGCAATTTTTAAACATAGATTACCACAAACCAACATGGTTTGGCTATGTGGCATTTGTTCAGTGATATTTATGAAGGAGAGGCAGAGAAGCAACGTAGGCGGTGTTGTTGCTTTTAAATGGTGTTGAAAATGTAGGGAAATATGATGTATATGATATCATTAAGTATTGTTAAATACTGCCATCCCAGTAGTACTAATATCAGATTGTCATACTAATCCTAATTTTTATGCTGGTGCATCTTTAATGATGATTATTGTTCTGCAGCTTAGAAAATTTACATTTAATAATAACCTCTCACTTTTTAAGTCAGCTGTTAATCAATTCACATAAAAATCAGAAATTATGTTTAACGTAATAGTAAAAATAAAAAGTAGACGTCTTATAAGGACACTAAAAAATGTGTTCTCTAGTCTTTAGTTTTCAGATTTACCCTCAGTCTCACTCTGCGCAGGGTTTTTATATATTTTTTGTGTCCATGTGATCTATTGATGCATCTATAAAGGGCCTCAAGACTCTAGAAGGCCATAGAAATAGAAGTAAAAAAAAAACATATGTATGCTTAGATGTTATCTTATCATTCAAATCAAATTAGATTTTGTTTGTATTATGCTAAATTACTTCAGTGTGAAAAGGTATTTTATCAATACAATCTGCCACAACCGGCCCTTTGAGGGCTTTCATGATCTTGATTGGCCCTGAAATAAAAATGAGTTTAACAGCCCTGGTTTTCAGTATATAACTTTTAGTCCCAAAAGTCACTGAATTACATTAGTTGATGCTTAAATTACCATTTCCATAAATGTATAACAGAGTGCTGCAGAAGCATGTCACTTTTACGGAAGAAAATATTTTTTTAACACTACTGCATTATAACATGATAACTATATTGTATAAACATGATAATCTATTGTACAGTCATGATAATTATCTTGCATAAACATAATAATTTATCTAGAAGGCGTCTACAGTATGCTTTTACTGCAATTTATTATGAAGACTAGTGCAAAGGCCAAGTTAGTCAAGTTTTACTACAAGTTTTACTATTTGGTCTAAGACATGGAGAGAAACTGATGCTGCTGCACGTTGTTGTTGAAGTTATTGTTAGTACAATAAGGATCCTAAACAGAATGGGCCTGCACAGAAGAAACAATCTGACCGATCCTCTCGGTATGGCAGCCTTTCTCATTGACCAGGTGGAGAGTTATGGGAGGCATCAGTTTCACCACCTTGAATGTTTCCAATATGGAGATGTTGTGACTCGGAGTACAACGAGACATTTGTTCAAATTTATGGACCCTATCAGCGTGCAATGAAGGCAAAGTAGGTGGCTGATGCGACACTTTTATCTAAATCTTCTACCTAATTTTATGAGGCATAGATGTCATGGTTTACGTAGGAATCTCAACAAAGGGCCATCCATCTTCTTAGTCATTCATTCATTCCTCTCCACATGTATCCCAGATTAACTTGGTGTTCAAACTTCTACCTACTGTTGAGTCTTGCTTTCAATGCAGCATAAAAGCAAACTACCGCCATCCACCATCTGGATGAAATTATCACATTCACACAATATAATTATCAAGTTTATACAATTTATTACCATGTTTGTACAATATAATTATCATTTTATAATACGACAGTGTTCAAAAACTTACTTTCCTCCATGACAGAGGGGCTGCAGAGAAATCAATAACACTGTAAGAGTAGCAATAAATTAGTAAAGCAAAACTACATTTATGTAAAACCACAAATGAACTTTTGTTTTAGCTCTTACACATATTTTTGAGTTTTAGTTTCTGTAGTTAAGTTTGCACATTCTAGTTTTGCTTTTAGCCTTGCGGTTCACTTAGGAAATACTAAAGGTCACAGTACAACATTACGGTTACCTTTTCTTGGCACACAATCTGCATTATTAATCTGATTGAACCAAAATTAGTTTGTAATAACTTTCTTTCCACTACACAAACAACATGATATGTGTGCATCCTGGCTGGCTGTAGGGGGGCTCAGACAGTGGCAACTTCACACATGCATGATTTATTAGCAGTCAGGACCCAAAGGTTAGCACCTCTGACTGAAGCTGGGAAGGACTCCCTTTTTTTTTTTTTTTTTGAAAAGGAGCCAGTAGAAAACTTACTGAACGTAACAACAGAGCCTCAAAGTTGGCAAAACCGAGTCTTGTACATGTTCATTCAATTGGTGTCAGTGACTTCAATTATCTGTCCTCTGTAGATGTTGGGAAAACATCATGTTTTCAAATTTACTTAGACACTGAGTTAATTTCCTGTGTGGATCTGTTTCCCCACTTTTATACTGGCAATTGCATTCATACACTAAATAACACTACAAGAAATATCAAACGCACTTTGCTAAAACTGTAATAGATATTACTAAAACCAAGAACAAGTATTTTATTTAAAATAAAATAACTGTATATCTACAATAACAACAGCTGTTTTCAGGGTTTTTGTTTCCAGTCAGCTGCCATACCAGGAATAAGATGTGCCGTTCCTGTTTACGTTCCAGATGTTGTTAGTGGTGCAGCACAACGAGCAAAGACAAGAAGTTAGAAAACTAGTGGTTTGAAAATCCAGTGAGTTTTACCGGTTGTGGGAGACTTTTGGATAGTTTTATTGCTACATCCATATTGCAACAACTGTATAGGCAGGTAGTTGTGTTGGTGGGAGTGTTCAGTAACATTTTTGTTGTGGATGTTGCTTGGTGAACAACAGACACAATTATTCAAGTCCCTCCGGCTATTAGTCATATGCTGTAAGTGTTTACTGGATGCCACTGCTGTGAATTTTAGGTTTTGGGAACGCAGCTGAAGTGTTTTTAAGTTGCTATAATTTATTGCCTAGAACGATGGGTCTAAATTTGCACACAGGAAGGAAATTTGTTTTGAGTGTTTGAATTTATTGTCCTGCCTCAGTATTGCTACTTGTGTTTATCAATCTGAATACTTCCAAGATTTTATCAAAGCTCATGCCAGAATACATTTCAGACACACTTTAGTAACAACACTATAACAAAATTTGTATTATTATTATTATTATTATTAGAGGATAATGAGTATTCCATTCAGTTATTGTAAGTTTATCTACGTACAATAAGATTATTAACCTACTTTTCAAAGTACTTACTAAAGGTGTTAGAATGAATAAAAATGGTGTTGGATTATTTTAAGAAATCTCTTTAACACCAACTAACGAAAGACGAAAGAGCTACAAAGATACACAACAGACGTCCTAAGTCGTAATAAAACAAAATTTAGAATTAAATTAGCTTCAAATAGCTATTTTCTTTCTGATTGCCAAAAACTGTGGTTATGAATAGACAAGCAAAAACGTTTAATCGTAAAACAGAAAATGTAAAACTTTGCCGTTTACAAACGTGCCGATGCTCCGTTCTGATGAACCCTCAGTAAACTGGTTTCGTACTTCAGAGCAATTTGAATTTTATTACACAAATCTGACCTTTACGCCAGCGTTATCGCAAGAACATCTCCAGCTGCAAAGTTACGCAAGAGTGAGAGGCAACAAAAAATTACAGAAGTATTTGACACTTGCAGTGACGTAACAGTCGATGATGAAACAGGTCTGCGCAAAAAAATGTTCAGTATGCGGCCTGACAGACAGGTCTGTTGCCAACATCACAGACATCCATGCGGAGGGGAAAAGAGAAAACAGAAGTTGGCCAAACCCATAAAAGCTGTAATGACACGTTGCTGTCGAAGCTGCTGCATGATGACTCTTTTATCTCATCAGCAATTATGTTCCACTTTCCCAAAATCAATCCCAACAACTAAGCCCTCTTTGATGGAATTATCCTGGTATGGCGAAAGTACAATGGAAAAGGAACAGTCATGTTAAAGCATGTTGCCAATCAGGGTGGTTGCCATTATGCTTTCACAGGCAGCAGCTGAGATATTAACACTTGTGGATTTTGAAAAAAAAAAAAAATAGGAAGTAACAAAAAAGGTTATTTTCACAATGAGATACTCTACATCTTACAGAAAAAAGAGTGTTTTTGTCTGTTTAGGGAGTGACATCTTTTTATTTTTTCTTTGCTGCCATTACAGTAATTAGTTTAGATTTTTGATTGCAACATCAGAGTCTGTTCTGGCCAATTATCTGATATGAGAAAGCATAAAGGGTGTGGAGGAATAAGTCGTAAAGCATATATTTGACGTAAAACTGGACAAAAACCCCTTTTTTCCCCCCAGATATTCTGAATAGAACAGAAGCATTTCTGTTTCAAACAGGTAAAAAACGACTCCTATAGAAATGCAAAATATTCTGCTCATTAGACAAATTGCAAGATAAGAGATTATATCTTCTCATTGGGGGAAAAAAAATCATGACTTTTTCAATTTTGTTCAAGTTAAAACAGATTAGGGGAAATTGCTTCTCTGTTTCCACTGATTAAACACTTACAATTCAGATCTAGTTTTTCCGAAGCAAGTAAAAGTCTTGGCTAAAAAGTCAGCAGGTGGTAACATTAGGAAGGGGATGGCCTACGCTTTGACTGCAATTCAGCAGTCAGCTAACATTTGCAAGGTGACTTTAACAGTGGCTTTAATTAGCTGCATCAATTTTCTGAATCTCATTTGCTTTGCAACTCCTCCAAATAAACATTTTGTTGCAGGGATTGCCTTCATAATGAATAATTTGAATTCATTTTATTCTATAAATATTAAACCTCAGCTGGATGACCCAGCAACGAGATTGCCTTTCTGAACACGGGTCAAAATTTGAAATGATTCTTATAAATTGGCCATTGCAAATTCTGCACACTTCAATCCACGAGTCAAAATCATGAAGACCTGAACGACTTGCATCCCGTCGCTCTGCTCCTTGACTTTTTGTGCCTCTCTTAGAAATAAAGTGTTTATCTGCAAGAAGAGTACAAAATGTTCCCTCCATCGGCCACAAAGCCCTTTTATGGACTTATAAATTTTATAGATTTGATCTTAGATGTAACTTATGCATGTGTCGGTCTTTGTGTGTGTGTTTGTGTCTGAACACAATGTTCCTTCTATTCACAGTTCCCGCTGGCAAAGCCTGACAGCGTTCGCCAATCGAAGACCCCCTCACGTACGATCCAGCTTCAAATCTTTTTATGCCGGGGGGGGTTGCAAAAACATCCCATTTCAAATTGTCAAACTGAGGATGTGCGTTCACATTCTGGCTATCCCGGTGCATAATCTGAACCACAAAACAACTACAACAACTCTAAATAACTGACATTTTCCACAGCATGAGTAAAAGTTTCCAATTTCACCCATTTTGATCTTTTCATCTGCTGTGGTTTCCATCTGCTGCATTATCAAGTGTGAGACACTAAAATAAACAGGGTGTGAATATGGTTACGATACAGATAAGATGGCAAGTATGGGCTTCATGTACCAAAAAAACTAAGATACCCTGCGGAGGAATGCGGGAAGAGAACACAATGAGCCAAAGAGCACATCCAGAGACGCACGCAGTGTATCTGTACATTCTGTCTCACATCCGTACTCAGCTGCTGATTCATACCAAAACAAGTGGAGACACTGTGTGTGTGATAAACCTGTACACCAACATCCCAAAGCACAGTCTGAGTCTGGTTTCCCTTCCTCGCTCCAACCTGTTACAATTTAGCACGAAAGCTTTGCAAAGTCAAGTTCACAGAGGTCACTTTTTTTTGGGGGGGGGGGGAATGTTGCAACAGTGGAAAGATTTTTGTTTTTAATGACTAAGTATGCCTCTCAGTTTATTTTTAAAGTTTTAGCCAATAAAATGACATAAACACTGTATAATTATATATCTGTATTACTTCAATTAACTATAAACCTATTTTCAAAGACAGAAATAGTACCAAAAAAAAAAAAAAACTGTGCCTCTATACTTTTATCCTCTTCACCTGGTTTGAATCTAATACAGCCATAAATTTAGAGTTACTCAGTGAACTTGCAATGTGCCCTGTAATAAGCATCGTGGCTTTAAAAAACGAAGCACACAATGTACCGGAGTTAATGTTATAATTCTAAGAAGTAGCCATGAAACCTGTAATTTATGAGAAAGACATCTAAGCCTTCCCGGGATTCTGGATGTTCTCATCCTCCTCCTCCTCCTCTGGGACCCACACAAACGTAGACGCATGCAAAAAAATAAAATAAAAATAAAATAAACAATCTAGCATCAACCCAAAAATTAACTAAATTTGTCTCACTTTTTTTTTTTTTAAATTTGCGTGTTTCCGAAATGAAATCATTGCGCATAACAAGTGTCCATTCACTGCCAGTCGTGAAATCGGACTGGCAGGAGGGAAAAGCCGGTAGGCTTGAAATCAACTTCTTGATCCAAGTTTTCCCTGCAACAGAGTTAATAAATAGAAAAAAAAAATACACTTACATTATCTCGCGATCCGCCTTTTTTTGTTGTTGTTGTATATAACACGTATAAAAATGTTCCCGGTCGCTGCAGTTGAACTCGTCTTCTCCCTCTATTAATTCAAGTCTGCGCTTCTTCTTATCTTAAATCCAGCTGGGTACTAAGTGTTCTGCCCATGTGGTTTTTAGGTAGCGCTCTTTTCTCTCTTTTTGCCCCACTCTCCTCTCTTTCTTTCTTTCTTTTTCCTGTCCTCACTTGATGATGACTGGCTGTGCCGGTGTAGTCCCCACATGCAGCTCTGTCTGACTTCAAAATGACACTGTGGAGACACTATAGACACATAGAGACGCACGGAGTCCGAAATTGACAAGAGAGAGAGAGATAGAGGAGGTTTGAGGGGTGGAGGGGGGGTAGAAAAAAAAAGTGTGTGGCGGGGGAGGAGGGAGGGGGGGGGGGGGGGGGAAACGGGGAGGGGTGTGGGGGGGGGTTTTGTGTAAA